GGGGGGGGGGGGGGGGGGGGGGGGGGGGGGGGGGGGGGGGGGGGGGGGGGGGTTAGTTGTTTGGCTGGGGGGGGGCAAGCTGTGGTACTTTGCTGCGAGTATTCACGCAACAGCCGTACACCTCTTGTGACGTAACTCAGGTACGCTTTCAGAACAGCAAAATACAAACGACAAAAGGCACACAGACGGACCGCCCCACCGGAGACACGCCTTCTAAAGAAGACGCCTTCAACTCCTTTCAGTGCAGCTCAGGCGACGCCAATGGAAGACCGGGCTTAACACATCAAGTTACCGCAAGAGTGTGAGATAACGCACGATTCGGTGGTACCGCGCGTACCCGGTGATATCGCACCCCCGTGAGAAAAAAATCAAGGACAAAATGATTTACTACGGCGGTGGTCTTGCAGTCACTCCTGCTGTACAAGACAGTGGGTAAGATGGACAATACAAGGCTTTGAGTGGTATGCCAGCTGGGAGAGCTGAAACAATATCTGTCTATTCCCACCCACCCACACTGCTGTTCTTTCGAAGGTGGAAGAGAGGAGCTGACCGATTGCAGTAGTTAGAGGCGGTGCAATACTAGAAGAAATTGCTCAAAAGAAGGTATCTCGGGAATTCGTGGGAAAACAGGTAGCCTGCGCTGACGGTATGGATTCATTGTTAGTCTATCTTGCACTCTTAAAAGAACAGATTGAGATGGATTCGGAGTGTTATAACGAAGTACGAAGAAAATGCGAGTGACAAAAAAAAACAGGGCAGAAGACCATCAACTCGTTCGAAATATACCAAGTATACAGACAATTACACACCAGTTTTTTACTTGTAGGATAAGCATTTATCGGCGACAAGGCAGAGAGAGACACGTTAGAACAAGGCCCAGAAGGTGACTGTGGTAGAACAAACCGTGCTCAGCAAGTTGTCGGCTGTCTCTTCCTTCCTCCGATGAATGTACAGTGTTGTTGTTGTTGTCTTCACATTAATAAACCGTATGTCAGTTGCGAAATGCCAAAATCTAGCAAAAGACTCTCAGCCTGTGGTCACGAAAGTGCTAAAGCCATCTGAGGATCTAAAGAACACGCACACATGTAACGAGAAAAAGGTATCCAAGAGCCCGAAGAGGTACACCTAAAAATCCCTGCAGCACCGTATGCGTGCCCAAAAACTGAACTGCANGGTAGGCATGGAACAAGAAGCTGGTGGGGCACAAAGCTGCTGTCTGAAGCGCTGTCAGAATGTGTCTGCGGCCGGACAGTGAAAAAGAACAACCAACCAAAGCCATCATAGCAGCAATT